CAGTAAAATAAAGTATGAATTACTGTTATAATATACAATTTAGGAAAAAAAAGTACCGTAGAATTAAATAAAATTTTGCAACCTCAAAATACCGTTCTGCTTACAGTAAACACAGTCGGTAGTCTGGCGCTCCGTTTACAACGGATTTGAACGGAACTTGGCGCCAGATTCTACCGAATCTGTGGATTTTTACTAATTATTATTAACTTAATACTGTAAATATTACTTCAGTAATATCCAAAATTATTATTTATTCATTTACGGTCATACGTTTAAAATATTTTCTTAAATTAAATTTTTTTAGTACTATTACCTACAGTAAAATTTTGATTCGTTCTTACAAGCTAGCTGATGCACTAACCTTCGCCTCTCCTTTTTTATAAATAAATATTTACAAACTTAAACTTCAGATGAATTGTCCACAGAATTTGCCATATAAATCTTGTTTCAGTTAGTAAAAACTAATTTTAGTCTGAAAATTCCGTACTGGGATGTTTTTCGAATTAAAATTCATATTCACTTCGGAATTACTCCGCTAAAAAAAACCCTAGATTTACTCTGTATACGAAATCATTTTTCGTCAAGGTATGCCGAGTGATAAAAGTGAAAATGTACTCCAAATTCATTTCCGATAGCTTACAGTACGCTGATAGAAAAGTTAACTTGATTCCAGAAAACAAATCTTGAACCAAAAACACCATTTTGAAGAAAATGTATTTCTTGAGTCAAGAGAAAAAAATCTTTGCTCGAAAATAATTTCTGTTAACTTTTCTATCAATGTATGCATAAATAATTTTTTTTTTTTAGATTTTGTGTTCGCTTTTCATTCTAAATGTTGAATTAATTGTGGAAGTAACCATCTGATTTGATTAGAAAAGAACACATGGAAAAAAAAATTTCGTTCTGGGAACCAAATTGTATAGTTACCATATCTATACACAGTTTACTGTTTGTTATAGAGTTACAGTAACAAAATTTTATTTAGTTCTGATAACTAAATGTTGTTAACGCCTCGATGTTGGCCGAGCGGTTCAATGCGTTGGTCCGTTCGTACAATTCATGTGGCAAGGCGCGGGTTCGATCCCCAGCGATTCCAAAGATTTTTCACATTTGTTGATATCTTTCGATTCTCTGAGGTTCGCTTCAGCGCCGCCTAGGTTAAGGCAAGTTCCTAACCAACACAGCTAACCCACCACACAATCTACCAACGGCCGAATAGGAAAAATACTCAGAGCCTAAAGAATACTACTACTACTACTACTACTAAATGTTGTTTAGCTCTCAGAGCTCAACGGGATTGTTCGAAGAGACAAACGGTATAGTTGGGAAGGCTTTACGGTGCGCAGTAGTGGAGTGCGCTGACATATTTCATAACCTTCAAAAATGATGAACATAATTATTTTGTTACTCATCCATATTATTAAAAATATATGAGAACAATTAAGTCTCCAGTTTATTTATTTGAGGAAATAGGTATTTTTTTTTGTTAAATTGAATTTCGTTAGAACGGTTTTGTATTTATGGTTTTTCAAGGTTCATTTGCAGTGACTGTTAATTTAATTTATTAGATTAATAAAACTTTGTTATAGTCTTAGAACGATCCTCTAGAGTTGTGAGAGGTAAATAACGTTTGGCTCTCAGAGCTCAACGACATAGAGTTATAGGAGCCAAACGGTATTCTTACCATAAGAATGCGTTAACCTACTGGAATTTTTTACAAGTAACTATCTACTATAGAGTTCCTGTAGCTAAATTTTTTTCTCCGTGCAGTTTGAAATTGAAAAAGAGCCTGTAGAAATTGATAGACAAAAATCAAAGAGATACTCCAGCACAGTGATTCAACATTTAAACTGAGTATATAAATGCCGCTGGTTATTGTTTTTTGTTTTTTTTTACTCCGGATCCTTTTGGTGAGATGTATTTTTTTTGATGCGCTTCTCACGCCCTGTTGTCAGAATTCTCATTGCAAAGCTCGTACAAAATTTTACGGTAGCCTTTGTAAATTCAAGTGGGTATTTTCGTGTAATGTTTACCAAAGAATGTAAGAGAGACAGATAAAACTATTGATTGAATCGAATAAGCTTCCTTTATGAAATTAGAAATAAAAAAAAAAAAATATTTAACAAAAACTTATCGTTTTTATCCAGAAGATTGAAATGTATGATTTGTGGTAGAAATAATTAAAAGTAATAAAAGTGGCTATATTCGAAAGAATAACGAAACCGCCAATCTTATAATAAACTACCCAGACGATTCGTGAATAAATTCAAAAACCACGGATAAAATAACCGAACGACAAAATAACCATGGACAAAATAACCAGATCATAAAGGTTTATAATTAATTTTTCGAAAATAAATAAACAAATAAGCTTGTTATTTTGATGTGCCCTTTTTTCATGAATTTTGTGTGTTTATTCGAAAATAGGCCAACACATGCGCTTTTTACCGTATTGTGCCATTTTTTCATTAATTTTGTGTGTGTTTATGCGAAAATATTTTTTTTACAACACCTGCTCTGGAAGTTGACTTTTCGAGCGCTGTGTGTCATCTCCTAAGTACACAATAGTCGCATACTTGACGATATGTGTTTCATAAACGCACATGTTCGGTTAAAACCACATAACTACTATACACGGATTCCGCCTAAACTATACTACTATAGAAATATAACCCCACGAACACAATCTGTGTTTGACTCAGTCCGTCGTTTTTATTTTACTAGAGACTACTGAAACGCCATCTGATGCCGCGATAGTAATTTATTTTTTATCGTTCACGTGAATCATACCCTAAAAACAACGATCAGTCCTAACCCTTATTTATTTATGTCACAATGCAACTATGTTAAACGCAAAAAAAAGTGTAATTAAAAAAAATTATTTATTATATTCCTCTCAAATTCAATTTCCAGAGCAGTAGTAAAAAGTTTTGTATGTTACAAATGAGATAAATAGCAAATATGACAGTCGTGATTACGACATTTGCTGTAAGGTTTACGAATGCCCCATAAACCTTACGTTTATTTCGCTACAACACGACTGTCAGATTATTTGCTACTTATCCCACATGTAGCATAAATAATTACATCATAATATTTTGTCGTTTGGTTATTTTATTATACATGGTTATAATGTCGTTCGGTTATTTTATCTGCGGTTATTTTGTCACATAGTTATTTTGTTCACGGTTTATTTTTCTTCGGTTATTTTGTCGTTCGGTTGTTTTGTCCGCGGTTATTTTGTCCGTGGTTATCTAGTCGCGGCATCTTTTTAAGTGACTTGAATTTAAAAATAACAAAACACCTCGAAAAAAATTTTCATATTTAATGAATTTATAAAATGTGCTTACATTAAATTTAAAACTGAGAATCAAACTGAATTAATTGAAAAACCAAATACATGCCTTGAAAACTAGATAATTTTTTACACAATTGTAAAATTAATTTTTATTACATGTCTAGCAAAGAAAAATTATTCGGTTGTATTTCAAGATGATACTTCATTACTTGATCTACCGCTTTGCAAGTGAAAATTTAAGGATACAATTCGCCATCTATCGGTCGCGCAGAACTAATCCAAAGCATTTATTATACAGTGAAAATTGCACGGTGAATAAGCATATACAGTGAAAACCGTTTATGACGACATTGAAGGGACCGATGAATTATGGTCGTTATAGCCGATAGTCGTTATGACCAATATCTATTATTAATAATTAAAAACGTTTTCATTGCATTCAAAAATACATTACAACTATTTATTAAATTAAAATTGCATTGTTATATCATCTTACAGTTAATGATGTTAACTAATACTTATTATGAATATTTATACAAAAATTACTTTAAGAAATTTATCCTTTTAGTTTGTTTAATGCACTGGAACTATACGCAGTTATTTTGAATTTGTTAATACATTTTATGCAATATTTCATTGTTATTGCTTAAACTTAATTCTTCTTCGTCAAGTACAAATTTTTGTAAAACAGTAATAGCAATTAGTGCTTTCCTGACGTTGGTATTACAAATTGTTCATCATTTTCTTGTTCATCCTAATTCTCAACCATCGTGTCATGATTTTGAATATCCTCTAACATTTTCCGATCACTCATTGACGAGCATACAGCTACCTCGTTGTCTACCTCAATATACTTGTCTATCTCTAAAGTTGTCAAAGATGGCATGAACGTTTGCCCGAACTGTACCAGATACTTCGTCTTTTTCAACTGTTGAAAAACTTGTGACGTTATAAATATAATTACTGAAAAACAAATACAGACCTAAATACAAGTGCAAAAGCATGTCTTAGACGTTATAAACGATATTTTTCTTCGAAAAGATGGTTCAACCATGGTCGTTATGAGCGATTTGTCGTTATAGGCGATGTCGTTATAAACAGTTTTAAGCTTGAAGGTTTTATATTGCATTAAGACGGGACCTTGAAATTTCGTCGTTATACCCGGTTCGTCGTTGTAAGCAATGTCGCTGTAAACGGTTTTGACTGTAATTACAAGGAAGTTTTATTATTTTTATATTTTATTTTCTTATTTATTTAATACAAAAATTTTATAATAATTGAAAAATTTTGAAGATTTGAAAGTTTTTATATTCAAACTTTAAAATAACGAAATCGATGAAAGATAATTAAATCTTTGAGTTCAATATTTGAAACAAAATAACCGTAGACAAAAACGTGTACAAGTAATAATAAAAATGATAATAATATCGGTAATAGATCGTAACAGTCAGAAAATAGACATTGATATTAATAGAATAATTCATAATTACAGGAATATATTTGATAAAATAATAATATTCGGGTTAAAGTAAACTGAATTGATGGTTTTGGATGGGTAACATACTAGATACTATTCATATTCTATCTATATGTAAATGTGGTGTCAGTTTGCAGCAAAGCTCGGGAAAAGCGGTTGCAAGGTAAGTGGGAGGAGGTGAAGTGAGGGTGGAGAGTCGGATGAGTGAGATAGTATTATTATATGTGTTATGTGTCCATGTACATGAGTAAGAACGGCTAACTGTCCACAATGCATCATATTAAAATTAAACTATAGTTCCTACTGTTACTGTTCCTCCTCTTTCTGTCCCTATCCTGTCTGCACAGAAGCAAGCATAAATAGGAGGAAGAGATATTAACCGAATCGTATTTTGCTAGCACACGCGTTTAGCAGTTTACTGGAATAACTCTATAATGTTTAATGTTTATTCACTGCGCTTGCAAGTTTATTGTTGGCATCACTGTTGTCATTGTTATTATCGTCATTGGATTTACGATTAAGCTACCTGAGTTAGGCGCCAATGTTTGGAGGCTTTCGCAATTGGATCCGTGACTTGAGTGCAGACATCTCCAAACAGCATCACTTTGTGAGGCCCGCTGTGCATCATGTCGAAAAATGCCTTCACTCCGACGGCAGCGTTACACTGAAATCACAATTTTATACATGTTTATTAATAGATTCAAACATAATTAACTTAATTATTTTGTATTCAATTTTGATAGAATTTAATATTATTTTCGTCCTAGGCGGACGTATGGGGGTTTTTACGTGCAGACAATACTCAATCTGTAAATAATACGCGTACGCGCCAGTATCTACTAGGCCAGTATAGAACTTTATACAGCCCAGGACAATGCCACGCATGCGTCACCAATCTCTATACAGCCGACTAGCTTACGTTTTGACTGTAATTTTAAAAAGCGCACCGGGCGCATGATATGCTGAAAAGACAATATAATCTCAATATTTGTAAATCAATTGTTTTAGTATAGCAGTTAAGTTCATTGATCTCAATTTTTTTAACTCGGGGAACTGTTATTTTAATATTATAAAATTGCGATTTATTAAAAAATATGTTAAAATAACTGCACTGAGAGAAAATTTTATTCAATAGTAATAAAATTTTATTACTATATAATAAAACGTTTATTTGGCTAATAAAGGGGAAGGGGAAATAAACAAGTATAGGTTAGGTTAGGATGTCTCGTTGAAACATCTTTATACTATTTATTTGTTAAAAGATTTTATTGTGAAAATATATTTGAATATGATATAATTAATTAATAAATATTAATTTTTTTTTGAAATTATTTGTTTTAATGACTTAATATTCGTATTAAAAACACATATTAGTATTTAAGAAAATTTTATTAAATACTAATAAAATTTTTATTAAATACTAATAAAATTTTATTCATAGGGAATATAATTTTATTACTATTAACTAAGTTTTCTTTTCAAGTCCAAATAAACTTTTTTATTACTATTAAATAAAATTTTCTCTCAGTGTGCGTTTAAACTATTAATTACAATAAAATTACATTTTAATATTTACTAGAAATTTGAATTAATTAATTTTAACCACTAATGAATCGTGGCCCGGTTTTTGCGAGTTTCTACCTATGACTAACTTCAAGACTTTCATGTATTTTTATTGAAAGGGTTATGGCGTCGTTTCCCCTGCACGCAAAAACCCGCATACGTAAGCCATAGGACGAAAAATTTTTTAAGCACCATGGGCAAGCCACGCGCAAATACGGTCTAGGTGATAATTATTTGCAGCAGGGATATCGTGACTCGCCCAAGGTACATAAACAACTAATATTAATTAACCATGCAAACGTGAATATATTTAATAACAAAGAGCTATGTATGATATGCGGCATGGAATTTCTATTTTGATTATGTTTTGGTAATTATTGTGAATTCCTGTTTAATTAACTTTGTTTATAATTAATTTTGGATTTTCATTTAAAACTTCTATACTTTAGTTTTAACATTTTATGATAAAATTGAATTTAAAAAACATAAGCTAAATTATATCTCGCAGCACAAAAAGTATAAAAAAAGTTTGTATAAATATTAAATGATTAAAATAAAATATCGAGAGGAAAAATAAAATTTATAAAGGTAATATAAATTTATAATTTTCTAAGTACACAATAAATAGTATTTTTAAAATAAATATTTTCTAAAGTTTGGTTTTAAATAGCCCAACGATACTTGAGATCGACTATACTCTCTGGTAGAAGTAGACTAGCTACGCCACTTTCTGGTAATTTCGAACAATAGTCGAAAGTGCAATAGTTCAAGCACAGTCTGAGCTGTATTCACGAGTAAAATAAATTTATATTTTTTAAAACCCAGGTAGGGTTAACCAATGCTGACAAATGGCCCAGCCTTGGACCATTTGTTACTTTGCCAAGCCTTGGTAAGTTACCAGTGGCCCAGGCCTGGCCCGAGGCTTGGCCCAATAGTTCGATATTCTCAAGCCGAGCCTTGGGGTGCACCACTGGCCTAAGCCTGGCCCGAGGCTTGGCCCAATGGTTCAATATTTTGGAACCAAGCCTTGGGAGATCACGACTGGCCGAAGCCTGGTCCGATGCTTGGCCCAATGTCTCGATACATTTCAACCAAGCCTTGAAAAATCACCACGGACTTAATTAAACCCGGTTCGATACTTGGCCCAATGCTTCGAACACTGATAGAAGAATTTAATAGAATAATAGAAGAATTTTATAGAATTTAATAAATGACTTGTCGACAAAAAAATTTTAATAAATATAGTTATTAATCGTTGACAAATTATTTTTAACTATCATTTCTTTGTTGCTGAAAAATGTATAAAACTCTCGAAACTGCTCAAAATTATGATCATGTATTTATTTTTGGTAATAGAAAATTTAATTATTTCGTTAAAATTAAATGAATTAAAAAAAAATATATTTCATAACGGTATTATGTCGACAAATTATACTATCTGAACTAAACAAAATTTTTAGCAGTTATAAGTTCAATTTTAATTATGGAATATCATATAATAAAGCAAAATGACTGAGTGATGTTTAAGTAACTAAAACTAATCTGTTAGTGTTACTACGAAGTGCAGCGAAGTCAGTACAGTTCGAGACTTTCACGCGGGTGACCCAGGTTCGATTCCCATCGTGAGCAAAGATTTTTTCAAGGTAATCTGGTGTAATCGCGAGATACAATAACGTAAAGCTGATAATAAACCGTAAAATCACGAATACAATTAAAATCAAATTTAATTTTTTAATAATGTTTGCATTTTTTTTAGTCCTGGCAAATTAGTTCCCCAAGGCTTGGTCCGAGCCCTGGGCCATTTGTTTCCCAAGACTCGGCCCAAGCCTTGTGTTTTGGTTTCCCAAGGCTTGGGGACATAGTTATCATCCTAGGCTTGGATCGAGCCTTGGCCCAATGTTTAGCCATGGCTCGTGCCAAGCCTTACCCAAGGCTGGTGAAGCTTGGCCCAGGCTTGATCCAAGCCTTGTCCAGTTGTTCTTTCCTACCTGGGAATCAACAGCACGGTCGACCAAAAGACAGAAATTTGGTTGTAATTCCCAGTCGAAGTATAATAATTGTAATCAAACAAAATAATATTGAGCTAAAATTTCAAAAGGGTTCTTCGCGTTAATCATATGAAAGTATTGAAAAAAAAAAAAAAAAAAACATGGTTTAGAAAATAGAATTTTCCAAAAGTTATCGTGTTTGCAAGCTCATTAACTTTTAAGAAACTAACTTTGTCTTATTAAAAACAGTTTTTATAGAAGTTTTTTGTAAAATTTAGGACTAACCTATATTTAAATCTTTTCAATTAGATCCCAAGTAGAAGAAAGTCGGTTATAGTCAGACGGTTACAGTCGAAATCTTTAATCCTACTTCAAAACTGCGGTAATTCCTTACAAAAAATTCTTTGTTAGTGTTCAAAGAGTACTAAAAAGTAAAGTAAGAAATTTTCGCAACCGGTAAGCAATTCAAGTTCCCGAAGTAGTTGTACAGAAAAGAAACTGTGTCAACAAAAACTGTAACTCGAACTGCTGTCTCGCTAAGTTTAAAAACTCACAGACGTGCCAGTGAATCGGATTTTAGAATCCTAGGTTTAATATCAAAATTAGTCTCTTTCGACACAAAGTGAACTTCACTTATAATACCATCAAAATATTATCGGTCAGATTACGTTAACTACTCGATAATTCGTCTTCTTTAAAGTGTTTCGCCTGAGTGTCAACACAGAATATTAGTATCTAATGTCACTTGTAAGCTTAGCTCTCGCATTATCGATTGACATATAATATGTCCGACATTACTGCCACGATAGTTCCGTTTAAATTACACAGTCGCCTAAGGATTTAGGTATCCTTTAACATCCTGATACTCATCTCCGTTAGGGCAAGGTCCTATGTTAATCAATAGGTTAACCAGATTTTCTCTTCGAAGAAACAATGAAGGGAAAAGAAAAATTCATTTATTGAAAAGTTGTAACAAAAAGATACTCGCGTCGTCCGACAGCTGGGTTAGTGCGCGTTTCGGACGTCAGTTATTTTTTTTCTTCTCAGAAAAATAACAAGTCCGTTGCTTCCAGGGTCAATTTGTCGGTATCCGCGGGGAAAAATCGAAATAGTGTAAGGGTATAGAAAGAGAGAAAGAGAGAGAGTGTACATAAACATGATTTGGAAAAATAGTATAAAATAAACAGCAAAGTTAAATCAACTGTAAATAATTAAATAGACTGATAGGAGTTAAGACTCTAACCAGCAGTCAGATCCAGTTAAACTATTCATTAATCTATTAAGTTTGGAAATATTAATTATATTTTTCAAAAAAATTTGACTAGAATATAGAACAAAATTTTCATAATGATTATTTTGTTTTTAAGTTTTGTTGATAAAACTTAACGTTAAAAGTAAAAACTATACTGTAAAAATAGTTAATATTATTCAAGAAAAAAATTCTTGAAACGATAAAATCATTTTGAAGAGTTTCATCGTCTCGATTTAAGTAGAAAAATTTTTAAACTGAAAAATTGTTCTTGGTGTAACTAAATTTTACTTGATTCAAGAATTTTTTATTTTGATTTAAGACAATGAAACTCTTCAAAATGATTTTCTTGTTTCAACCATTTATCTCTTGAATGAAGTTAATTTTTTTTTATAATAAATTAAATTGCTATGGCTGATTCAATAAAATTGATTGCTTTAATGTTACTGAAATTAACTTTTATACGGCAATTTTTAGGATTTCTTGACAAACAAATTATTAAAGAGAGAATTTATCAAAAAATGCTGCTTGTAGAAATTTAAAAAACTACTGATGCAATTTTCCAAAAATATTAATAGATAGATCATGGAGTTCTAGTGTGTAGCCGATTCAATCTTTTTTTCAATCTAATCCTTTATTTGCTTAGTAACTACATTTCTCATCTGCCTTTTTGTTGCGGCTGTACCGCATTCGTCCTGTTCCTCATCTCTGCCTATGCTCTTGAGACAGTGACATGGAAAAACCACAGAGAAAACCGATGTCAGTGCAGTCGGAATAGGGCTAAATTTTTGGTAATCGATAAGAACCTCATCTTTATCGATTATCGTAACATTAGTCTCCTTTCCTAGCGCATAAAGATCTACC